GCGAGAGTTATTTCTTTCGATCTCCATCTTTTTACCCGTAATAGGTATTGGTATATACCCCGATTTCGTTCTTTCATTAGCAGTTGACAAGGTCGAAGTTATTCTATCTAATTTTTTTTATAGATAATTGGATGACTGAAATAAAAAAACCTATGTTTGTTTTTAAAAACATTCTTGGACAATGAAAAAAAGAAGACTTTTTTTCTTCTCTTAACTTAAGAATTAAGTAAAAACAATGAAATTGAACTACATATGGTAGAAAACCGTGTGAATCATCAATACAATATTTGATTCACACGGTCCGCATGCTGGTTCATACAATGCGTCGCCCGCTCTTGTATTTGTAATAACTTGTCTTGAATTCAATTAAATGTTGATGGAAAAGAACCATAACTATGTAACCCTATTCCTAATAGATTGACCCCAAAATAGCATATCCAAATTATAAGAAAACCTATAGACGCTACAATTGCAGAATTTGGACCCCGCAAATTTCTATTTGTTCGAGTATGTAAATAAATTGCAAATACGATCCAAGTAATAAATGCCCAAGTTTCTTTTGGATCCCAATTCCAATAGGACCCCCACGCTTCATTAGCCCATACCGCTCCCGAAAGGATTCCTATGGTTAAAAAAGTAAATCCTAAACTAATAACCCGATAACTCCAATAATCCAATTGTTGAATCAATTGGGACCTGTAATAATTTTGAGCACAAAAAAACGAAGTATTTTCGACAACATTTTCACCCAAGAAAAATGACTCGTTTAAAAAACCATTGCTCTTATAAAAAAGCTTTCTGTTTTTTCGAAATGTAATCACTAGAAGTGCTACTGATAATAACGATCCACATAAAAGGGCTGCATAGCCCAATATCATCATACTTACGTGCATTATTAACCACTCAGATTGAAGAGCAGGTACTAATATTCCAGATTGGTGTATTTCAGTTAAAATACCTGAAGTAGCAAAGCCTTGGGTCAAAATAGCACTTGGTCCAGTTATTTTACTTAAAATTAAAACATTTTTTTTGAAATATGGAATTATATGAATAAGGGAGAAACTCCATGAAAGGAAAATTAATGATTCATATAAATCGCTTAGTGGGAAATGTCCTGAAGAAATCCAACGAGTAACTAATAATCCTGTTATACAGAAAAAAGTAACTATTATGCCCTTTTCTGACGAATCGTATAGTTTTACAATTTCATCGACTAAAAAGGTTATCAAATGAATTGTAATTACAATTGAAACGATCGAAAAGGAAATGTGAGTTAATATATGCTCTAAGGTTGAAAATATCATAAAAAATCTTAAAAAAGAAGAGTCCCTTAATTACATAATTCTAAAATGGAAATCGGGAATTGAATTCATTATAAGATCTATTTATCCTTTTTAGAAGATGCTATGCCGCCACTCGGACTCGAACCGAGATGCATTAGCACTGCTTCCTAAGAGCAGCGTGTCTACCAATTTCACCATAGCGGCTTGTCTTGAACTCATAATAGCCTATGAATAAGCAATCGTCGAGATTGAGTAAGCTATTTTAGTTTAGTAATGATTCAAATGGATCAATAACAATAAAAAGTTGTTCAAATAGGAATTTGAGGTTGAAGGTTCATTATTTTTGATTTGAGTTTAGAGTCTTAGTTTTTTTTATTTAACCTATTTAACCTGGGACTTTCCTATATTTTATACTTTCCTCGAATTCAACTCTTGTAACTAAACCGTTCTATACTTCTATACTCAATTAAGGAATAGAGTTCAAAAAGTTTTTGTTTTCATTGTTTAAGCAGCAATTTCTTATTTTTTTTTCATAAATCTAAAATAAAACAAAAAAGGGATTTTGACGACAAAATAGAAAGAAAAGAACCAATTTTGCATCGCTAAAAATTCACAATTAGTCATACAAAATTTCATTAAGCAATTTTCTCTATTGGGTTAAGGGCAAGATATACATGGGGGTCTATATAATAATTCAGAGAAAATAAAAAGGTTTCAAAATAGAATCAATTACTTTCAATGAGTTCTTAACTTTCACTAAAGATTTTTATATACGTTCTTCTATAGATATGCAAATATAGAATTTTATTTGCATTTTATTCTGCAAATAGGTCGATGGGGAAAATAAAACTCCCCACCTTGGAATAGAAATGATCTTTATTCTTTTGTCAACAAAAAAGTTATTATTCAGTGAATAGTAAATAGAGGATTTCCTAATTCTATTATTTTATATATCAATCAGAAAAGCGAATAGAGTTCCGTTACATATGGATTGGTGAGCTAATCAATATCAAATAGGAAAGGTAAATCGTTCAATTATTCAATTATTATCTAATTGAAGAATAATTGAATTATTTTTTCAAGTTGATTCAAATTATTCTAACGTTTTATTACTTATTTATTTTTGTTTGGCGTACAAAAAAACTTTTTGAATTCCCGGTAGAAAGAGATTTCGCTAATGAAAAAGCCTTTAATGCTACCCAATACCCCTTCCTTTTCCAAATATTTTTACGAATACGCTTTTTTGATGTCGAAGTGCGTTTTTTTGGAACTGCCATTTAGAAATTAAAAAATTATTGATTGTTATAGCTGGATGTGAAAGACATCTATTGTTCAAAACGAATTCTTTTTACTACTATTTATTTTCGAGCTAATAGTGTCCTCCTCAAATAAAACATTATCGAGATAGGCAAAAGCTATGTGAAAGTTGCAGAATACTGGAAATAAAAACAGAAGGCCAATATTTTTTTTTTTTCAAGTTTTTCTATTTCATAAAACATTCATAATCGTAAAAAAGAAAAGGTTCTCTATTGACTGGTATCTTTATTTCACATTCTTTTTGATTCATCAAATCTATACCTATAGAATTTGATAATCGGCTGTTCTGTAGAAATGAAGAAAGAAAATTTGTTGAACTTAATATAAAAATCAAAAATAAAATAACGAATCCCAAAAATATTCGATTTCTATTTATGGTTCCACATTTCATTTACATGCAATAAAATACCTCGAAAGGTTTAAAGATAAGAACCGCGTTTTACTTCAGGAAATGAAAAACTTGAATCCCCGTTCGATTCACTGGTCAAACTTGGATAAAAAATAGGCTTATTTCAAAGGAGACTAGTAATTAATCCCTTTTATATCATTTGACCAATCGTAACTTCGTGATTTGAATAGTTGAAGTATTTAGCAAAGACTCAGAATAAGTAAGAAAAAAAAATTCTATTTAAGTTTTAAATTAGTTTAAGTTAGTCCATATTTTTACTTTTTATTGACTCCTTTCAAAAGAGGTAAGATCCGGTGAATCGGAAACAATTAATTAAGAATTTAAAACTTTTTTATGGAACAGACATATGAATATGCGTGGATCATACCTTTCATTCCACTTCCAGTCCCTATGTTAATAGGAGCGGGACTTATTCTTTTTCCAACGGCAACAAAAAGTTTTCGCCGTATGTGGGCTTTTCAGAGTGTTTTATTGTTAAGCATAGTCATGATTTTTTCAATCTACCTGTCTATTCAGCAAATAAATAGCAGTTCTGTTTATCAATATGTATGGTCTTGGATCATTAATAATGATTTTTCTTTAGACTTCGGATACTTGATCGACCCACTTACTTCTATTATGTCAATATTAATCACTACTGTTGGAATTATGGTTCTTATTTATAGTGATAATTATATGGCTCATGATCAAGGCTATTTGAGATTTTTTGCTTATATGAGTTTTTTCAGTACTTCCATGTTGGGATTAGTTACTAGTTCGAATTTGATACAAATTTATATTTTTTGGGAATTGGTTGGGCTGTGTTCCTATCTATTAATAGGATTTTGGTTTACACGACCTGTTGCGGCAAATGCTTGTCAAAAAGCGTTTGTAACTAATCGTGTAGGGGATTTTGGTTTATTATTAGGAATTTTAGGTTTTTATTGGATAACGGGGAGTTTCGAATTTAGAGATTTATTCGAAATATTCAATAACTTGATTTATAATAATGAGGTCAATTTTTTATTTGTTACGTTATGCGCTGTTCTCTTATTTGCCGGTGCAGTTGCTAAATCCGCCCAATTCCCCCTTCATGTATGGTTACCTGATGCCATGGAGGGGCCTACTCCTATTTCGGCTCTTATACATGCTGCTACTATGGTAGCGGCGGGAATTTTTCTTGTAGCTCGGCTTCTTCCTCTTTTCAGAGTTATACCTTACATAATGTATTTGATCTCGGTTATAGGAATAATAACAGTATTATTAGGAGCTACTTTAGCTCTTGCTCAAAAAGACATTAAGAGAGGTTTAGCCTATTCCACAATGTCTCAATTGGGTTATATGATGTTAGCTCTAGGTATGGGGTCTTATCGAAGCGCTTTATTTCATTTGATTACTCATGCTTATTCCAAAGCATTATTATTTTTAGGATCCGGATCTATTATTCATTCAATGGAAACTATTGTTGGATATTCTCCAGCTAAAAGCCAGAATATGGGTCTTATGGGAGGTTTAAGAAAACATGTACCAATTACCAAAATCACATTTTTATTAGGTACACTTTCTCTTTGTGGTATTCCACCTCTTGCTTGTTTTTGGTCCAAAGATGAAATTCTTAATGATAGTTGGTTGTATTCGCCAATTTTCGCAATAATAGCTTGGGCCACGGCGGGATTAACCGCATTTTATATGTTTCGGATCTATTTACTTACTTTTGAAGGGCATTTAAACGTTCATTTTCAAAATTATGGTGGGAAACACAAAACCCCTTTCTATTCAATATCTCTATGGGGTAAAAACGGAGTTAAGAAAAACTCTTGTTTATTAACAATGAATAATAATGAAAGTACTTATTTTTTGTCAAAAACTAAATATCCAATTGATAAAAATGGAAGAAAGATGACACGACCTTTTATGACTATTGCTCATTTTGAGCATAAAGCGGTTTCTTCCTATCCGTATGAATCGGACAATACTATGCTATTCCCAATATTTGTATTAGGGCTCTTTAC